TTTTTTTTTGCATATAATTCTATTTCTCATATGTTAGACTCAGCAAAAAATAAAATTTTAAAAAATGAAAATAAAAATCTAGAAAGAATAAGGCACCTAAAAACAGTTCATGCTAAGTTCAAACAACCCCATTAACTGAAAAGCCGAATGAAATATTAATATGCAATGTTTGCAATTTATTGACCCTTTTGTTTTTACAGCACAACTTGCAAGAAAGCAGTATGAACAAATGAGAAGGGAAGCCGCCTCAATCCGTATACAGAAACACCAACGTGCTCACATGGCAAGAAAGTCTTACACAACATTGAAGGCATCTGCAATTGTCATTCAAACTGGATTAAGAGCAATGGCGGCCCGAAATGAGTTCAGGTTTAGGAGAAGAACCAAGGCTGCAACCATTGTTCAGGTAACAAATTTTCGGAAATTTGTGGTGGAAGTCCATTTTGGAAAACGAACAAATGTAAACTTTTTCTACTTAGTCCATTTCAGAAATTTGATGACAAAAATTGTTTTCAACTTTTGACTCATTGAACATTAAACAGCTTCATGGTTATGAGTTTGTTAAGATTATAAATGTTTCTTCTCGCAGACACGGTGGCGAAGATTCCAAGCTCTTAACTCTTATAAACAACAGAAGAAAGCGACTCTCGCACTTCAATGTCTATGGAGAGCAAAGGTAGCAAGGAAGGAACTTAGAAAGCTGAAGATGGTGAGATTAGTTACTTGTCTGTTTGAATCCATTTACTTAACAATCTCTCTATTTGCTTTTATTGAGATAAAACACAAGGATTTCTAGAAGTAAATGCATTGCAAAGAATATAAAAGGATTTTCTGATGCAGGCTGCAAGAGAAACTGGCGCGCTCAAGGAAGCGAAGGACAAGTTGGAGAAGCGTGTCGAAGAGCTTACATGGAGACTAGATTTTGAGAAGCACTTGAGGGTATTACATTTTCTACCTACTTGTTTGAAATAGTATAACATAGTAATTAGCCTTGTATTTCAGTTTGGTATTGCTTTCGGAGGCCGCAAAAACCCTTTGCACGAAACATGAAAAAGTAGTGTACTTGGTAAAGGCGCATAAAAGTACTTTGCACAGACACCAATACATTGTTTTGAGAAGTTAGATTTTTGACGTTTGTTACAAGTAACCGTAGTTAACAATTTCAAGGTGAAGCTCAAAAGTTCCTCTTTTGTACTTGTTGGTTTCAAGATAATTTGATCAAAGTGCTTACATATAATCCTGAGCTGAAAGAGTATAAAAGCATATCCTTAATTCGGATGAATTTTGTTATAGTATTTACAGGAGAGTAAATTCCGAAAGAATATAGGTCTTGGTTGGAAAATGATCTGATGGAGTACTTTCTATGCAATTTTCTTTCACAGATTGACCTTGAAGAGGCTAAAGGGCAAGAAATCTCGAAGCTACAAAATGCTTTAAACGAAATGCAAGAGAAGTTAGACGAAGCGCACGCCGCGGTCATTCAAGAGAGAGAAGCGGCAAAGTTAGCTATTGAAGAAGCTCCACCGGTCATCAAAGAGGTGCCAGTTGTGGATGAAACAAAGCTAGAAATCCTAAGAAATCACAATGAAGAACTAGAGGTAATGTCTCAAATCAAAAACCACAAAATGGTGCCTATATTCGCGTTTCTAAATTAGAAATGATTCATATGTTTGTTCACACAATAACTTATTTATCCATGCATATGTACAGGGTGAATTGAGTGAGTTGAAGAAGAAGATGGAGGAATTTGAAGAAAAGTATTCTCAAGTCGAGAAAGAGAGCGAAATAAGGCTTAAAGAGGCGGAAGAAGTGCGGTTGAAGACAATGCAGCTTCAAGAGACAATAGAAAGGTGTGAACTCTAGAAAAAGGAATTGGTCACAAACATTCATTTTCAGTAGAC